AAATGCGCTTTACACAGTTGATGTACGTATGGATTGTGATAAGAGTTGTATGAGCCCCTAATAAAATGATTTAAAAAGAAAAAAAAAATCCTTGTGTCTCTGACAACTAAGCAATTTCGGTCACCCTTATTTCTTGATGGAAAATGGATGAACTGACACACATTCAGAATAGGTCCCCCAGTTTGGGGTACAGGGTAAATGAATAGGTTTTCTTCTTACGTCCTGTCCTGTTAGGCTACCCTGAAATATAATGTGCCAGTACCTACAAACGCGTTTGGATTTTCGCTCGCCGTGGAAATGGCGAAGAAACACTCTTCAAGCCAATTTCAGGCGATTTATAACTTGACCGTGACTTTCAAGTAAGTGCTGGGTTCTGTGGTCAACTCCCAGGTTAAAGAGATGGTAATGGCCCTAGACTAGTTTAAATGGTAGTATATAATTATGAGTGCCAGTAACTGTGACAGCGGTCATCACCACCTCGTACTCTAGTTGGAGAGCTGCTGTATCCGGGTGCTTGTCCTTCAGTGAGTTCCGTCAGCACGCTCGATGCAGGATAGCTTGCTTGAAACCTTCTGTCCCACCCATGTTTCCTCATCATTTCGACTCAGTGATACAGGAATCCTGACCATTTTGGACACTGGAGGTATTCGTTTTCTTCCTAAAGACAGGCGCAGGTGGGCCTACGGGGAAAAGCTCACAGGTGCTTACTTTCTAACTCGATGGGGATAACATTTCATTTTTTCTTTTTCAGATAGATAAACTAGCCTTCTTAAATCAACATTCATTTTTACACTCCAAAGGGCTCTCTCCTTAGCCAGAAGGCTTAGCCATCTGGAAATGCTGAGTAAAAGTAGGTTGGAATTTTTTTCTTAGGACTTCGACATGAAAAATTGCCTGAACACCTAAGCTAACAGCTAGCTGCATTTTGGAATTCTTAGCTTCTCATCCCACCAAGCGTACTCAGATGCAGGGGCACAGCCTCAAACATCTCTTCAGGACGTTCTTACTTCACGAACTTCCTGATTTAAAAAAATAAAATGAAATATAGATCTCCTTTAAGTGCTGCGTATAGGTAATAAAAGTTATAAACTGTGCTTATAAATTTAGATTTTGTAGCCTCCTTAAACTTAAAGCAGGGGAAGGTGTTGGGGAGCTTCTCTTTCCAGATAATAATACTTTTCTCAAATTATGTTACTTTGTATCACGTCACCCACCATCACTCTGGACAGACCTATATCTAGTTGTTTGAGAACTACTTTATTTGGGTGCTTCCTCTTCAGTGTTTTGCCTCTCTTCAAGACTTCTATTCAATTATTGTTTGGATAGACAGCAGTTCTAGCAAGAAAATGAAGAGGATTTTTTGGGGGGAATTTTTCTTTCTCTATTTTTGTTCATTTTCAATTTCAGCTACACTGGCATTCGCAATAACTCCAATATGGTCATTGTTGATATAAAAATGCTATCAGGATTTACTCCAGTCTTACCAACCCTTGAAGAGGTAAGTAATAATTCAATCTTTCAGGACAGAAAAATAATATAATGCATAGAGAAAACAATTGGTTAGCCAAACTGAAATATGGAATTCTTCACTAAAGAAAAAAATTTACTCAGAGTTCACATTGATAATTTTGCTATAATCCCGTGGGTGGGTGGGGGGGTGTTCTTAATTGTTAGCAATTAATGTTCATTGTGTTTCATGGTGTATAATGGATTTCTTTATTTAGTTTCTTTCTTGGGCTTATCAAATTATCATGAAACTCTGGAATTATCCCATTAGTTATATTCCTGAAAATTGATTAAATTTTAAAAAGTGAAGAATTCAATTCTCAGTGAGTACTATCATTAATCCTCACATCCATCCTCGTTATTCCCGATCAACGTCTTCAAAGCTGGAAAGCAGTGGTCAAGTGACGAAGGCTGAAGTCCAAAATGGCCATGCTCTTTTGTATATGGATAATGTAAGTTCAGAAATGATTTTGCTTTCAAATTTTTTGTTTTCCTATCTTTCTCCCAGAGTAAGTGGGCACTTTCACTTCTGATAGATATTCCTGATAGGATTTCTTAAAATTTCAAAGATATTAATTCAGTCATAAATGGGCACAGACTGGAACAGATATTTCCTCAAAGAAGACTTTCAGATTGCCATCAAACACATGGAAGATGCTTAGCGTTATTAGCCGTAAAAGGGGTGCAAATCAAGCCCCAAATGAGATACCATTTCACTCCCAATAGGTTAGCAAAGATTTAAAATGAAAAAAATATATAGAAAAGAACAAATGTTGGCAAGGATGTGGGGAAAATGAGACCTTTCCCCAATGCTGGTGGTAATGAAAAATAGTACAACCATGGTAGAAAGCAATGGGATTTTTCCTCAAAAAGCTAAAAATTCGACTACCACATGATCCAGCAATTCCACTCCTAAGGATATTCCCCCAAAGACTTAAGACAGAGACCCCAATAGAGACTTGTAGACCAATATTCACTGTAGTACTATGCACAATAGCCAAAACATAAATGTTCATCCATAGACAAATGGTTACAGAAAATGTGATGCATACACGCAGTGGAATACTACTCAGAGGAGAATTGTAGACAGGAAGTCCTGATGCATCGCATAAAGTCAATGTGGCTGGCAGATATTATTCTGAGTGAGATAAATGCATCACAAAAGGACAAATACTATATGACCTCACTTATATAAAAAGACAAGAAAGGGCAAATTTCTACCTGCACACTATGTTCTTTAAGAAATACCTATATAAACATATAATAATAAGAGTTACTTAGGGGGTAAAGAGGAGCCAGTATCAAAGAATTCAAGAAGAAACCAAACATTTTTGAAAATTATGGTGGCAGCAATTGTACAATCATGCTTGATCTAATTGAATTATGGATTGTTGTACTATCAATAAAATGATTTTAAAAAGAAAGAAAGAAATGCCTATATAAAAATCAACAACAGCAACTGGAATGATTAAAGCATAAGTTCTCAAAATTTTTTGGCCTATTGTCCCATTTTAAGAAAAAAAAATAACTCAGCACCCCTGCCCAGCAATTAAAAACTTTTGTACTCTTATCTAATTAACCAGGATAAAGTGTAGATATCTGCTTTTGCAGACCTCTGGCGTCTGGCCTGTTCTCGAACTCTCCCCTATGGGGCAGCATTGCCTACGTTAGGAAACCCTGGGTTATATAGGAGCATCAGGGGATGGGGCAGTAAATTTATGTACGTGACTGAAGAATGAGGGACTGAAGAAACAAGAGTGAGACTGGTTGTACAACTGTAAGAATTTAATCAGTGTCACTAATGGCACATGTAGAAACTGCATAATTGGTGTATGCTTTAGTATGTGTGTCCTCAACAATAAAAACAAAACAATAAATCAAGTTTTCTTTTAAAAAAATCAAGAGACATTAAAATTTGACCATGTTGTGTCCCTTTGATTATCTTCTCTCTATGAACTCTCAATTTTTGGATCCCCGACTGGGTGCTTCCTAAGTTAATGGTCATTGTTTCTTTGGCTTTCATTCCTCACAGCATCTAACATAGTCAGACTATGGATTACATGAACGATTCTTTATAGTTGACCCGAACAATGATGAATAGTGGGGGCCATGAATGTTAAATCCTACAATTGTACCCTATATTCAGTCATTGTGTGTGTCATGATTTTTGAGAAATTATTTACTCGGTGATTTTTTTTCCTTTCTTTCCCTTTTATTTTTTTGACAAACATGTTTTTATGTGTTTATAATTCATATCTTGACAGGTTTTGGGTACAGCAAAGATTTTCACTTTCTCTGTTGAACAAAGCAACCGTGTGTCCCGCATACAGCCAGCTTCAGCCATGGTCTATGATTATAATGAAAAAGGTAGGCAAGCAACTACTATGCCCTGAGGTTAATGAATGTGGTAATGATATCTAAGATTTCTTGAAATGTTAAATTTTGCAGACTCTTCCTCAGTCTTCCAAGACTAAAAAAATAGATGTTCTCACTTTGTATATTAAATTTTTTCCTCCATAATTTATCTTTGGATCAGGCTATTGTCTAGTCACTGAAGTCTTATATAATGTGGAGGGACTGTCTTTCAACTTGAAATATAAACCAGGCTGAATCCCCAGGTCATTTTGTTGCTCTTATGATTAATGCCAAGATTTGCAATATCGTGCTACTTCTGTGAAATCTGATCTAAGAGTGAGAGCAGTTGGTATTCTACAAACTTATGGGGACATTTTATAGATTTAATAGCTTTCTGATCTCTTAGGTTCCAAAGCTATTACTAAAGTGGTATAGTGACCATGAAGGCTCAGGTAGTTTAAGCAGTTAGCATACTTGACCGCTAGCCAAAAGGCTGGAGTTTTCAGTCAATCTATCAGTGACTCAGCAGACAAGCATGGTGACCTGCTTCTGGAAGCTCCGCCATTCAAAAGCCTAAGGAGCACAATTCCCATCTGACACATGTGGGGTTGCCATGAGTAGCTATCAACTGATAGCATCTGGTTTGGATATAACTCATATTTCCCACCCCCCTGGAAGGTTTATCCTATTTATTTGGCTTATATCATACAAAGTTTGTAGAGGAATATTTACATTCTGGATCTATTTACTGATTGACTTTACTTCATCAAGCATCTTAAATGTTGAGTGTACATATTTAGAGGAGTAATATGGGCAGAGGGGTGAGCGACTTCTGCAAAATTACTGGGCAGATTAGACTTACATATGTGTATTATCTGATGTAACCTTAGCATGGAAAAGCGGAGCCTTCCTCGTGATGCAATTTCTCACTGTTTTCCAGATGAATATGCTCTTATTTCTTACAACATCCCTAGTACTTCCATTTCCCAGTAAGGAAAAAAAAAACACAAGAAAAGGTAGGCAACTACTTATTACAGGTCTTTGAAAATATACCTATTAAAATAGAAAACCTAAAAGAGACAGAACAATCAAGGAAGCACGGATGTCTGACAATTCACCTGAGTCACAGAGGTGTGTATACTAGATACACCTAATTAGTACAATTTTGTTAATTTCTTTAAATTAGCTTTAAGAATTTACAACTATACATGTCCCTTTATAAGTAGCAACACTGGTGAGGAGAGTGCAGGACTGAACGGTCACCCTGTTGTACACAAGGTTGCAGTGAAGAGAAATTGGCTTCACAGCACCAGCCACAACAAATTCATGCCTAATAACTATGAGGGGTACCACCCAAAAGATGGAATTTTTTTTCTCAAAACTATGTATTTAAATTTTTTGCAAAACAATCTTATCCCCTTCAAAGTACTCTCCATTATACTTAATACATTTGTTAAATCTGCTATTCCATTCTTGGGAACAGTTTTCAAACTCATTTGTTTGGATGGCTGACAGCACCTCCCTCATTTTTTTCCCTTCACTTCTATGCCATGAAATCACTGTCCTTCCCTCTTCATTCAGGAACCAAAAGTAAGTCATGTGGAGTTAGAACAAGTGAGTAGGGTGCATGGCGCAAGAGAGGCATGTTGCGCTTTGCCAAAAACTGGTGCACTGTGATGACTATGTGAGCAGGTGCATTGTGCATTGTCGTGGTGCCGCAACAAGTCCCCTGTCTGCCACAAATCAGGCCATTTTTGTCACACACTGTTGCACAATCTTTTCAGAGCCTCTAAATAGAAAGCTTGATTAAGTCTGACCTGGTGGAATGATCTCTAAATTCACTATCCCCCTCACATCCCAAAAAACCCCAAATGAGCATTTTCTTGATCTTTGATTTCATTTAAAGAACTTTTTTGGGGTGAGGTGACATGGCGTCTCCCACTAGCTTGATTGATGTTTGTTTTTAGGGTTAGAAGCATAGCACCAGGTCTTGCCACCTTGGAGAAAAAAAATGTCTGGGTCCTTCAGAGCTGGTCTTTCCACTTCACACTCTTTTTCCTGGTCAGTCAGAATCCAAGGCACAAATTTCCCAGCGACCTTTCCCATTCCCAAATCTACCATTAAAATTGTCTGAATTGACCTCCAAGACAGTCCAGACAGCTTCCCCATCTCTTTAATGGTCCATCATTGTTGGGCTTCAAGCACAAGTGCACGAATTTTGTAGACACTTTTGTCCATTTAGGAAGTAGACAGTCGTCTAGAACAAAGTTTGTCATCAATCAACAATTCACCTTTTCTGAAATGAGAAAACCACTCATACACTTGATTTTTCCCCCATAGTGCTGTCCTTGTAAGTTGTATCTAACATCACAACGGTTTCTGTGGCATTTTTTTCACAAGCAGGAAACAAAATTTCACAGCTGCATCCTGTTCTCTTAAATCGGCCATCACAAAAAATGAGGTTTGAGTGAAATTGAGTTTATGAAAAAATTCAGAGAAAACCTTCCTAGGGGATGACACTGGATGCACTAACGCAGAGTTATCCTGCCAGGTGCTCGCTAGGTACTCACCTAGCAAGAAAAGTGGGTACTATGAGAGCTCCACCCAGCAGAGCTTTTCTCCATTGTTTTGTTTTTTTGAGGGGGGGGTACTCCCTCGCATGTATTTGTATATTGTGATTAATATATATCTTGTATATGTATATTATACGTACACACATTTATTTGTTGCTTACATTATTTTTAAACCCATTCCAGGTGAAAATATTTCTGCTCTGAATAACTACATTCTTCTGTATCAAACCTGGGAGAGACTCTTGACCCATCTGACAAGAAGTTATAGCAGATTACATATTGTTCCAGATATTATTTCTTTATTATCCTATTAAATGTCATGATTATGCATCTAACTATGAGTTTCTTTTCCCCTCCCCCCAATTTTTTTCTATTTTTTTAGATGTGGAAAACTCAGAACCTTGTTTAATTGCAACTTAGATATGTTGCTTTGTTGTTGTTAAATATGAATCCAAATTCCCACATCTTATGACATACAAAATTTGGAACCCTCCAGTTCCAGAGAGATAGACTCCTGTCAGTCGAGAGGACTTTCTGTCAGCTCAAGAAAAGGAAATAAGAATGACAAAAATATATAAACACACACCAAAATAAACTTCTGAATATCTCATTAAAGAACAGGAGTAAAGAGAGTCACTAATTAAATGACAGGTATCTTAATCTTGGGCACAAAAATCAAGATGATAGTAGAAAGTAATTTTCATAAATTCCTTTATTGCTGTGAGCATATCCCTTATTACTGATAAATAATTCTCAGTATCCTTTATTTCCCTAATTTAATGCTACTGTTATAACAAGTAATTCATGTTGAGAGGAAAGAGGTGGGGTGGGAATCAGATTGGAAATGGAAAAAAAATCTCCCTAGTAGTGTAGTGCATATTTCAAATTCAGGCCATATTGAGAAAATGCAAAGCAAGTGCTCAAAATTTAAGTTCTAATACCATTCCCTCTTCCAGTCTTAAATTTCATTATCTACAATCCCATAATCACAAAAGCTGGTGTGCTTCTTCCTTGTGGACTTAGCTGACACTTCACTTAAACAGATGCTTGCTTTCAGGCAAGCCTTAAGACTCCGGATGCTATTCTTTCTGATGACCAGTTGTCATGTGACTTTTTCACCACCCTTTGCTGTAACAACCATATCTTCAGTGATCTCCTCATGAAGGAACGTATCAAGAAGTGCCACAGGATAAGAAACAAATAAATGCAAGCCCTAAGCCCACTCATACAAATACCAATGGTTCATGTATGTTCCTGGTACACTTCAGAGGGATCACGATCTTTTTATTGGGTAACACAATAAATCATCCTCGGGGTATATGGCAATTGTATTGATAGTATCATTAATTTAGGCAATGGTGTAGCATTTTAAGGATCATTAGGAAAAGAAAAATATGTCTTCTGATTATTACTGCTATGGCCCAATTATATACACGATAGAATTTAACAATCATGTTCCTTATTCTTATACATTTCTTAATGTCATCATTTACCTTGGCTAAGTTGTGCTTACATCACCAACAATTTAAGACTTCCCAGTAACCAAAACTACAAAGTGTCTACTGTCTAGAGATACAAGTTACATTTTGGAAAGTCATTTCCATCGTCCAAATTTTTGGAGAAAGGGGAACATAAGAAAAATTCCAATGTAGGAGATTTGAATGGGAAATGCCAAGTTTCATGAAATTGTGTGTATACAATTCTGTTTATGTTCTATGTATGTTCAGGTTCAAGTTAGAGCAAAGGCCTGTCGAGGGTAAGAGTGTTAGCTGCAAAGTCATTACAGAGAAGGAAATGCCTGGCACAGCGGCTGCCGGGAAATAGTCAAAACACTCAGCGGGAGGAATGGACACAGAGCTGCAACAAGGCACTCATACACCGATGCGATTGGAAGGATGGTGCCTAACCAGCCAGTGTTTTGTTCTGTTGTACATCAGGTTGCTAGGCATTGAAAACAATATACCAACACCTAACAGAAACAACTTATGGTGGACGAATGTCTTCAAGTTATAACATAGATGTCAGTCTGGTTAAGAAGAGAGTATAACATACTCTTCTTAACTATATGTTAAGAGGAAGCCATATGTTATGAGGAACTAGAAATTGGAACAAGGATCCAGGTCATACAAGAACTTGAAGGCTGTGTTAGGAAAGTAGCTATCACTCTGAGTGAAACTGGGAACCCTTTCAGGGTTTGGGGCAGAGGAGTGACCTGACCTGGTATCTTTTTAGATGATCAGTTGATTGCTGTGTTGAAATAAGTTGTAGGAGTACAACCATAGAAACAAAAGAGTCCCGGTAGAGACGATTTTTGTAATTTGGGTAAAAGATAACAGTGGTTAAGACCAAGGTTGTAGCAGTTGCGACATTAAGAAATAGTCTGATTCAAGATAATTATAAAAGTAAAGCGAATAGGATTTCGTATAAGTTACATACAAGGAATGAGAGAGCCAGAGAGGAACCAGAGATTATTCCAACGCATTCGGCCTAAACTATTACAAAGAAAGCATTGCGATTGCCTGAACCAGCCATGGCTGAACTAAGCTTAGAGTGGAAGAATGGGAATTCATCTTTGGAAATGCTGAGTTTGTTATTTTACATAAACAGATAGAGCTTGCCAGTTGGAAACTGGGAAAATCACACAGCAGTTTGGGTTGCCATGGCTGGAGAATAGGAGTTTGCGTGTCCTCAGCACACAGAAAATGATAGCACGGGAAGAAATCACTCATGCAGGGAGTCTGGATCAAGAACAGAAACAAGGATTATATTGTGAGATATTACAACATTAATCATTTTGAAAAGAGATCTGAGCTTGAAGGTCGTATTAGGACGTCAGAAACTGTGAAGGAGATACAGTGGATTAGAAATAAAACCTTAATATGATGTTGTTTCTTGGAAGTTGATTTTATATATATATTATATATATAAGTATATATATAAAAGAAAAAGCATGAAGCTTGAACAACTGTGTCAAATGCTGAAAGTCAAGGAAAATGAAAACTGAAGAGCTGATTGTTTATTTACGCAGGAAAAAAATTTATTATCTACCAAGTGATATCATTTGTTCTTCTTGCATCGTCACACACACAAAAAACAAAAACTCACTGCCATCGAGTTTATTCCAGGGTAAAATTGTCCCTGTGGGTTTCCGAGACTGTAACTCTTTATGAGAGTACAAAACCGTATCTTTCTCCAGCAGAGTGGCTGGTAGTTTAGAACTACTGGCCTGGTGGTTAGCAGCCCAATGCATAAACACTACGCCAGCAGGGCTCCTTGAATCTACACAAGTATACCACTAAAAGAATTACATTTTCATGAGGGAGTTTCCTTGAATATCCAAGAATCCTAGGATTATTATTATTATTTTTTTTAATAAACAAACCCTGTTTTGGAGAGTAGTGACTGGAATCTTAAAAAGCT